ACAAAATAGTTGAAATTTGATATCAGGGACTCAATATTATAGTAGATTTTTCTGTTTGTTTAGAAAGGATAGTTGAATTTGGCCCTGGAAAAGCTCATGCTATTTTTGAGTAGATAATGCTCCTTGTATATCACCAGCAAATTTTCTGAATCAGTCCCTTTAAAAATAACGATCTGGTGGGACTGTCATAAAACCACACAGTGTATGCTCCCGCAGAGGGCTCCCCATATTTGTCATTGGTTTTGTTATAATGGCTCAACAAGAAAGTTATTCTCTTTTGTCATGCCATTCGTTCTTCATCCTAGACATATGACTACAAGCATTATACTTTTGTGGCAAGTCCCCCAAATTATAACATTCTCAGCCAATATTCTAAAATGAAAGAATCCCTTTGTGAATGGGGGAAGCACTTAGGGAAGGCACTTGGGTGAGACACTTTATTGAACGTTTAGGCAACAAAGTGCAAGTATCTTTATGTCTTTTGGTTTCTCCCCTAAGTTATCTATACTATTAGTCACCTCATGGTATATTACAAAATGAGCAGACCTGCTCCTCAGCTATATTTCTTTTCTTTTTTTTTCTCATCTACAGTTCTATTGGAATTTTACAAGTGTCTGTCTTTAGCAGGGGGAGGATGCAACAATAACACATCATTTGCTGGTACTGATTGGTGTTATGGTCTTTGGAGAAGGTTGAGTTAGGGGAAAAAGAGATGCAAGATCTTAATGTTGAGGTTTATTGTTGGAACTGTGCTCTCTAGTCTCAGTGCAGTATCTAGGCACTTTGTGACGTGATAGGCTCACTCTCTCACTGGTCTCACTCCAAATTTGCTACCCTTTGTTAGGGGTAGAGCTGGTGGAACAAGGATTGGACATAGAGCAAATGACCCAAGAGAAGCAGGAAGTAGCAGCATTAGAAGGCAAGGGGCCAGGGGGCATTGTTTGGCCAGGTTCATTTCTGAGCTCCAGGTTTACACTGTGGCAACAGTCAGACTGTGGACTTTTTGGGAGGCAGGGAGTGTCTATTTGTTGTTATTTTAAAATAACACTAATTCTTGAGAAAACACAGATAAATAAAAAGAAGGGGAAAAAAACACAAACAAAAAAGATCATATTCTCAGGGCACCTGGATGGCTCAGTCGGTTAAGCGTCTGCCTTCAGCTCAGGTCATGATCTCAGGGTCCTGGGATCGAGCCCCGCATCGGGCTCCCTGCTCAGCCGGGAGTCTGCTTCTCCCTCTCCCTCTGCTGCTCCTCCCTGTTCGTGCTCACTCTCTCCCCCTCTCTCTCTCTCTCAAAATAAATAAATAAAATCTTTTTTTTTTAAAAAAAGGTCATATTCTCACTGCTCAGAGAATCCATGTTAACACTTAAAATGTACCAAAATTCACATCCGTACACGTTTAGAAAATTTAAGTAAAAAGGAATGATACAAACAAATAGCACAGGCCTCTTTTACTGCTCACTTTCCCAACCCAATTTATTTTTCCAGAGGTGACTACTGTTAACAGTTGCTTACTATTCCTTAAGAAAGAGTAAAAACCTATCTGGGATTGAAAGAGCGAAAAATCAACTCAGACTTGGGAGGAAAAAAAGCAAGCCCTTCTGTCATTAAAGCTAGGGGGACAGACACATAAAATGAGATGCAAAGTTAATAGAAAACATTCTTTCTCCAATGATTGTGCAGCAGCTATAAAGTGCCATAATGGTGCCCCCTGTGAGTGATTCCTGCTTTCTTACTAAAAACAGCCCCCAGCCCCACTTCACTACATTCATCTGTTATCAAGAGACCCAATCCTGCTAAAGTCCCCTAACTTCAAGACAGCGCTCAATCCCTAGTTGAACTCCCCTTCTAACACTGCCTTGGTAAAGCAACTACCCCAGAATTGATCTCCACTCTCTTGAGCCCTCCTCATAATCCTTCAGTGAGAACCCAAACCTTATAAAAGATGTTTCTCTCTTCCCTCTTGTTGAGCAGCACTCCATAGTTCTCCTGGAGGGACCTCCCTCACTGCATAGACACAATAAATCGAAACTTGTCATATTTCAAGCTTATCCTTCCTTAGTAGTCTTTGGCTGATTAGGCTTTAACATAACAAATTTTGTATTCATCTACCTGCTTTTTAATTTACATAAGTGATTTACCTTCCACACTGTATTACACATGCCTTTTTTTGTTTAATGATATATTTTGGAGGCCCATCTACATCAGAAGCATAAAGATCCACCACTGCAAAGGATCCATAATAAGAATGTACCCTAATTTGTTTAAATTTAAGTCACCCATTGACATATATTTCAGCTATTCCTAGATTTTTGCTATTGTAAAAAAGGTTACAATTAACACACATATCTTGACACACATATCACTATACATTTGTGGTTGAACTACCCAGCATCCACTTCCAGCTTCTCCCTTCTCAATAGTACCCAGCTTTTGTTTTCTATCTAGGGAAGACAACCCATCCTTATCTTTGAGGATTGATTCTGACCGATTTAAATCATGTAGCAAAATCAGAGGTATGCCTGTGCCTCAATTCGGCCCTTTTGGGCTAAACATAAGCATTGTTTCTTGGAACATGGACACTGAAGTGCTTTCTATATCCTACAATATCTTTAGCCCCAATTGGGACTGATAATCATTTAATGAACACTATGGAAAACATTGGTTGGATAAAATTAACCCTGGAAATCAGAGCGGAGAGAATCTTTATGTTGTCGAGCTGCTGGATCACCCAACCCTGAAGTCCGTCGGAGGCAGATGCTATTGGTGCCCTAGCCATATCCACTTGTCTTTACCACTTCAGTGCACACTGGCCTGACTTCTAACTGTCAGTACTGAATTCTCTGCCTGAGGGGTTTCTCTTATTACTGGCGTCCCCTTTGCCATCCACTCAGCAGAATGGAATGGATGTCCCTCAAGGATGACTCTCAACCAGTGACTCACTAAGTACCTCTCCCCTGTAGGGTGGATTACTTCTGAGGCATATGTTTTATGCTGGCTCTCAGGGTTTCCTGAGTGGAATTAAACTCTAGTTGTCCACATTGGAAATTAGCTTGATACTGGACCCTGTATCGGCTCTCTTCTCACTGGTCTTACTTCCCTACTCTTCTATTGGTGTTTCCTTCACCTCCCAAAAAACAGCCCCAGTTATGAACCATGTTGCACTCAAATTTTCCAAGCCAGCTATGAACCATGTTGCACTCAAATTTTCCAAGCCTGTGAGCCAACAAACCCCCTTTCTTGTTTAAGCTGGAGTGCATTGATTTTGTGTTACTTGCTAGAAAAGGGTTCTAACAATACATATCTTTTCGTGGGCATATCTGAGAAGTCATTTTTGGAGACATATCTGAGCAGTGAGTATGTGGGGGCTAAAAGGTACACATGTTTTACATTTGGATAAATACTGTCCTCCAGAATGGCTGTACCAATTTGCAAAAGATTTCTCTCTTAAAAAAATAATCTGTGCTATAGTTACCCAGATCTTACTCTTTTCTTTGCAAAATTGCCCAAAGTTACTGAGCACGAAAGTGAATTTGAATAACCTGAAGCTTTTTAGGATTGTTGTAACCTGTTCCAGAAACTTCCAGAAATTGATTATGCTTTGCACATACCTGAGGATTTTCTGTAGCAACACAAAAGAGAAATATGGTGTGGAGCAACCTGATCGGGTGGAGGCCGGCGGCATGGGTGGTAAAATAATTCGCCAGAGGCAGGACAAAGGGGATAGAAGTTTATTGGATACATGGCAAGGGGGTGGTGGGCAGGACCGCAGAGGAGAGACTGTCTGCCAGGAGGCAGTGGTGAGGGGCTGTATTTAAGGGGGGGGGGGAGGGATGTATGGGAACATATGGAATTTTCTTTTTTTGGTGCCTGTGCCTGGTTGTAAATAGCCCCTTGGTCAGCGAGGGTCTATGGTTATTTCGAGGTGGGTCACCTAATGAGCCTATTTGCATTCAGCCCAGTGGCCACTGTGGGCCCTTTCACCTTACTCAGGTCTCCATCGCTCAAGCCGGTTGCCCAAAAGCAGCCTCTACACATCATTTTTCCTTTTTATGGAGTTTCTCATTTGTTCACTATCGGTGTGATTTTGTGTGAATTATCTTCCCATTAATAGCTTTGGTTTTATAGCTAGTCATCAATTCAACATTGTAGCAGTGTTGAATTGGACTATTGATTGATTTCACATGGGGTGAGCAAGTAAAGTTATATAGCATCATCTTAAATTCTCTTGCAGGCCAAATTATTTCCCCACCCCTGGACACAGTAATGTCACTGCGAAAGATACTGATAGAAGTATCTCTCCCAGTGAGATACTGGGTTTCTTGGAGGTTTTTGTTTATTATTCTTATAGTATTACTGATGATCTAAATGCCATCTTATAGGAACAAACTTTTGGAATATACATAATGTCTTTGAGCCAAAAGTAACTAGGCTTCAGCCTTTTTGGTAACAGAAGACTTAATCTGTTATGAGCATAGATTAGTCCAGACCACTTGGAGTTCCATTCAGAACACACCATGTTTAAAGCCTCTAACTCAGCTGACTCTTAGAACTCTGAGGAAGGTGAACTAGTGTCCCCTCAACCTCCATCTTATTTGCCTCTTGAAAGTCTTCCTTTCCCAAAGCAAGCATCTGGCACACTTTATATTAGAGATTTGCCCTGCTCATCATCCTGCCCATGAAATCCCATTGACAATTTCAGTGATTAAGTTTAAGGGTAGAGATAGAAATTTTAGCACCTATAATTTAAGAATACCACCGAGAAAGAGACAAAAGATCTGTTTGATGGGCCAGAATATGCTCTGTTTTGGTAAATGTCCTCTGTGCACTTGAAAAAAATGTGTATTTTGCAATATTTTGAAGTGTACAAATGTTAATTAGGCATTTGGTTGATAGTGGTGTTCAACTCTTCTATGTCCTTATTTGTTTTGTCTATTTGTTCTTTCAATTATTGAGAAAAGGTAAATCTCTGAGTATAATTATGGATTTGTCTGCGTCGGGACCGGGGTCCGGTGCGGAGAGCCCCTCGTCCCGGGAAACGGGGCACGGCCGGAAAGGGGGCCGCCCCCTCCCTTGCCCCTCACGCAACGCACGTTCGTGGGGAACCTGGTGCTAAACCATTCGTAGACGACCTGCTTCTGGGTCGGGGTTTCGTATGTAGCAGAGCAGCTCCCTCGCTGCGATCTATTGAAAGTCAGCCCTCCACACAAGGGTTTGTAAAAAAGAAAAAAAAAATGAGATAAAGAAAAAACAAAAAAACAAAAAAAACAAAAGAAAAAAGAAAAAAGAAAAAATTATGGATTTGTCTCTTTCTCCTTATACTTCTGTCAGTTTTTAATTTAGGTAATAATTCTGTTATTAATTAGGTGCATACAGATTTAAGATTGTCATGTCCTCTTGCTGAATTGGGCTCTTTATGAAATGACCCTCTATTCCTGTTAATATTTACTCTGAAATCTACTTTGCCTTATATTAATGTAGCAACTCCTTCTTTTTTTTTAGATCAAAATAGCATGGTATATCTTTTTCCATCTTTTAATTTTTAACCTACCTGTGTCTATATTTAAAGTACATTTCTTAAAAGTAGCATATAGTGGGTCTTTTTTTTTCTTAATCCAATTTAATGATCTCCATTTTAATTGGGTGTTTAAACCATTTACATTTAATGTTTTATTAATTATTGCTGCAGAATAATATTGTCACAAACTTAGCAGCTTGAAACAAAACACATTTATTATCTCACTGTTTCTGTGAGTCAGAAATTCAGGCATAGCTTAGCAGAGTCCTCTGCTTCAGGATATCTCACAAGGTTGCAGTCAAAGTGTTGGGCAGGGCTGGGGTCTCATCTGAGGCTCAACTGAAGAAGAGTCTATTTCCAAACAAATGTGATTGTTGGCAGAATTCAGTTCCTTGCATGCTGTCAATTTCAGTTCCTTGCCACATGGACTTCTTCATATGATGGTTTACTTCAACAAAGCTAGCAAAGGGAATAGTCAATAGAGAGAATCTGCTTGCAAGATGGAAGTTCTAGTCTTATATAACAATCATGAGGGTAACATCCCATATTCCCTTGGTTAGAAGCAAGTCACAAGTTCCATCTACACACAAGAGGAGGGTATTACACAGGGCATAAATACAAGGAAACAGGGATAATTGGGGGCCATCTTAGAGTCTTACCACCACATATGTGATTATAGATATGGTTGCACTCATATCTACCATCTTTTTTTATACTTTTTTTTAAAATAATTTATTTACTTGACAGAGAGAGACACAGTGAGAGAGGGAACACAAGCAGGGGGAACGGGAAGGGAGAAGCAGGCTTCTGGCAGAGCAGGGAGCCCGATACAGGGCTCGATCCCAGGACCCTGGGATCATGACCTGAGCTGAAGGCAGACGCTTAACAACTGAGCCACCCAGGTGCCCCTATATTTACCACCTTCTTATTTATTTTCTATTTTTACCATCTTTTATCTGCTCCTCTTTTCTCTTCTCTCATCTTTTGGATTAACTGAGTAATTTTTATTATTCCATTTTGTCTCTTTTGTGGCTTTTTGTCTTTTAACTTTTTGTGTTATTTATAATAACACAAACTTTGTAATAATTTATAATAACAAAAAGTTACCCATGGGGTAACACAAAATATTACCCCAGTCTGCTTTCAAGTGATATTATACTACTTCCTATATAGTTAAAGACCTTACTGCAATGTACCATTTGTCCCCTCCTGACTTTCGTGCTATTGTTTTCTTATATTTTACTTCTACATATTATATGAACCCCAAATACATTTTTATTATTTTTGCCTTAAAATGGCTGATTATCTTTTAAACAGACTTACATAATGACAAAATTACTTTTAATTTACCCATATGGTTACCATTTCCAGTACTCTTTTTTTAATGTGTGTAGATCAAGATTTTCATCTATTATTATTTTTCTTCTTTACTATTTCTTATATACAAGGCCTACTTGTAATGATTTCTTTCATCTTTTGTACGCCTGAAAAAAATCTTTATTTTTGCCTCCATTTTTTAAAAGATACTTTGCTGGGTATAGAATTCTAGGTTGACAGTTTTTTCTTTCAGAACTTCAAAAATATCATTTCAGTGTCCTCTGGCTTGCATTGTTTATGATGAGAAAACTGTTATCATTGTTATCTTTGTTCTCCTGTACTTAAAATGTATTTTTTACTCTGGCTGCTTTTAATATTTTCTTTTTATCACTGGTTTTTAAAATTTTGATTATAATGTGTCTTATGTGGTTTTATTCACTTTTACACTTGGGGGTTTGTTTAGCTTCTTGAATCTGTCAGCTTAAAGTCCATCAAATTTGAACATTTTTGTCTATTATTTCTTCAGATGTTTTGTCTTGTCCATTCCCCTTCTCTTTTGGAGATGACAATTACATATATATATTTGTCCATTTTTTTTTAAGATTTTTTTATTTATTTGACAGAGAGAGAGAGATAGTGAGAGAGGGAACACAAGCAGGGGGAGTGGGAGAAGGAGAAGCAGGCTCTCCTCTGATCAGGGAGCCCAATGCAGGGCTCCATCCCAGGACCCTGGGATCATGACTTGAGCCGAAGGCAGACGCTTAACAACTGAGCCACCCAGGTGCCCCTATATTTGTCCATTTGAAGTTGTTTCACAGACCACTGATTCTCTGTCCCCCTGCCTCCCCCCACAAATCTCTAACTTTGGGTTTTTCATTTTGGATTGTTCCTATTACTAAGTATTCAAGTTTACTGATATTTTCTCCTGCAGTAGCTAACCTGCCATTAATTCCATCAAGTGTATTTTTCATCTCAGACAGTATAATTTCAATCTTTAGGGATTTGGACTGGGTCTTTTGGCAATCTTCCATCTCTGTTTAACACATTCAATCTTTCCTCTATATTTTGAACATATGGAATACAGTTATAAATTTTTTTAATCCCTGTGTTTGTATTATTTCTGAATCAGTTTTAATTGATTTTTTTTGGGGGGGGTCATTTCTTTTCATGCTTGGTAATTTTTTACCAGATGTCAAACATTGTAAATTTTACCTTGTAGAGTGCTATATATTTTTCGGATTCCTATAAATATTCTTGAGCTTTGTTCTGGGGTGCAGTTAAGTCACTTAGAAACATTTTGATACTTTTGAGTATTGATTTTAAGTGTTGTTAGGTGAGGTCAGAGCATTGTTGAGTAGTCTAGTGCTGTTTTTCTGCTACTACTGAGGCAAAACCCTTTTTAGTGTTCTACCCAGTGCCCTGTGAATTATAAGTTTTCCACACAGCCAGCTAGGAATGAGCACTATTCCTGGTCCTGTGTGATCTTCAGGGATTTCTCCCTTTAAACTTCTCTGGTGTTCCTTTCCTCATGTGTATGTACTGACCTATACTCAGTTGAATAGTCAGGGGGGACCCTCTGCAGATCTCCAGAGTGCTCTTTCTGTGTAGCCTTTTCTTCTTTAGTAACTCTGGTCTTGGCTTTCGTGGCCTCCCAGCTCTATACTCTCAACTTGGGAGTCTGCCAGGACTGTCCTGGGTTTTTTTTCTTCATGTAGTAAGCTTGAGCAACCTGAGGGTACATCTCATTTGTTTGTTTGTTTGTTTTGTCTTTTAGAGATCATTGTCTTTTGTTACCTGGTATTAATGTCATAAAACCATTTTCCATACATTTTGTCCATTTTTTTTTTTGGTGTATCTGTCAAGAAATTACATCTGGCACCTATTATTCTGTCTTAGCTGGGAATGGACATATTCTCTAAATCCCCTTTTATTTTTAATCCTCTACATGCAATCAGTGGCCAATTAATAGTTGAGCTAACTTTTAGATACGGCTTATAGTCTTGAAAAAAAGGGTGTAAGTCTGTTTTAGGTTGGATACTTCAGAAGTAGAACCTGAGATGTGGACTTTTTTGCAAATACCGTATTGAGGAAATTTTCTCAGAAGGGAATTGAGGGGAGCAGTACAGGACAAGGGAAGGAGTCAAGCAAGGTTGTGATCTCAGCTGGAGACTCTCTCAGTCTGATCCTTTGGGGAGCTCTAGAGCACAAATTGCACCACAAAGTTGGTTCCACCTTTAGGCAAATGTGGGCATGGGAGGACTTTTGTACATCCTTGTCACTAAGTTAATGGGAATAAGCTGCTTCTTGCAGGGGATGACCTCCCCAGTGACACGACTCCCAGTCAGACAATGACAGTTTTCTTAGAGAAGGAGGCAGCTGCAAGCTATTAACAGCCAACACTCACTGGTGTGTGGGGGTTGGATATATGGACTGAGTAAAGAGTTCTGGGAAGAACAACAGCAACATTCCCTATATTGTTTTAGGAGTCCTTATCTCCAAAATGCCTTGCACTCCAGTAGGCATTCTATATGTTAGTACCTTAAGGTATAGAACTACAGCAATATCACATTTCCAAGGAATAAATTATTTCATATGAGTAATTTTTAATTTATTTTTAATTTTTAATTTATTTTTTAAAAGATTTTATTTATTTGAGAGAGAGAAAGAGAGCACGAGCAGGGGGAGGGGCAGAGGCGGAGGGAGAGGGATAAGCAGACTCCTCGCTGAGCAGGGAGCCTGACACGGGGCAGATCCCAGGACCCTGAGGTCATGATTTGAGCCAAAGTCAGACACTTAACCAACTGAACCACCCAGGCACCCCTAAATTTTTTAGATATTAAAGACTGTACTTTTAAAAACTTCTAAAATTTTTATTTATTTGTTTGTTTGATAGAGCTGGGTGGGGGGAGAATGAGAGCATGAGCAAGGGGAGCGGCAGGCAGAGGGAGAGGGAGAAGCAGGCTCCCTGCTGAGCAGAGAGCCCAACACGACACTTGGCTCAATCCCAGGACCCCAGGATCATGACCTGAGCCGAAGGCAGATGCTTAACCGACTGAGCCACCCAGGCGCCCCTAAAACTTCTTGATGAGAATGTTTCTAAAATATGTATTTTCTTTACATCACACAGAAGATAATGAGATCAAAATGGTCTTTCCATGATGACTCAGAGTGACAATTTAGGAACCTTAAATGCTTTGCTGGGGTGCAAGTAGGTAGGAGCTTCCTTTCTAAATCTTTAGGTGAATTTTGGGAGCTACTGTACAAGGCAGTATGCCAGGCGGTCAGATACCAGCTGACATTACTCCTACTAGTACACCGGGTTTTGAAAGTTTCTTCAACGTCAAATCTCTGAGGTCGGAGAAGTCTGATGATCAAAGATGTCAGGTTTGTGAGAAAATAAGGTGTGAATTATGTCCTGAGAGTTTTCTCCTAGAATGGATTACAGGGCTTTAGTGCTTTGGCAATTGATAGAAGATGTATCAGGTGTTAAAGCATGCTCATGCTTGGTTGTCATTTGTAGGCCTGCTCTGAATCCTGGGGCACTCTAAACTTCAGCATCTATGGGAACACTGTATTCACAGTTCGTCCATGATTAAATTGATGATTGACTGACAAATTTCATTCTTATGGGAATTAAGGAATTGAAAAGACAGAATTTGCTTTTGCTAATTTTCTCACTTAGAACCTTTAGAAGTCATGTGTGGCTTTTATAGTCTGAGATTAAGGAATGTTTTAAAGTAGGCGAAGGATTAAAATGGAGTGTAAGAAAAGGAGATTGAGTTTGCAGTGCAGTATTTCGTCTCCAAAACCCTTTTTTCCAAACTGACGGTGAATTTAGTGGTACATTTTGTGTGGTAAACAAGGGTTTATTTATGTCTCTGTCCTAAATTGAAGCTGAAAATATAAAGTATCCTGATACCTGGAGCTGTTTTTCCTTGTGATGTTCTTACTGCTCAGGAACTGAATGTGAACTGAGGGGTGAGCAGGGCAATCCAGCAGGTTTGGCACAGGAATGTGCTGGAGCCAGCTCCACAAAAGCCAGTTGGGTATATCTCTTTCCTAGTCCACCTTTAGTGATGTCTCGCTGATAGCTTGAAATTGGTCATGATGGGAATGTTTATGGTGCTCGCTTCAGCAGCACATATACTAAAATTGGAACGATACAGAGAAGATTAGCATGGCCCCTGAGCAAGGGAAGGTTTATGCCATGGAAATTGATAAATGCTCTAAATCAAGGATTTTGTTTTTGTTTTTGTTTTTCCAGAGAGACAACATTGGTAAACGTTTAGAAGCATACCACTGGTCTCTAGACCATTGGCTTCAGCATAAGCCACTAATAAATTCTTTATTAAGGCAACTTACTTTTTAAAAAATTGAGGTATAATGATGGATAACATTATATTAGTTTCAGGAGTACAATGTAAATGAATTGTTATTTCTATATATTGCAAAATAATCAACATAATAAATCTAACATCTGTCACCATACATAGTTACAAATTTTTTCTTGTGATGAGAAGTTTTAAGATTTACTCTTTTAGGGTGCCTGGGTGGCTCAGTTGGTTGAGCGACTGCCTTCGGCTCAGGTCATGGTCCTGGAGTCCCGGGATCGAGTCCCGCATCGGGCTCCCTGCTCAGCAGGGAGCCTGCTTCTCCCTCTGACCCTCTTCCCTCTCGTGCTCTCTATCTCTCATTCTCTCTCTCTCAAATAAATAAATAAAATCTTTAAAAAAAAAGATTTACTCTTTTAGCAAGTTTCAAATATACAAAACAGTATTATTATTTTTATTTATTTTTAAAAAGATTTTACTTATTTGACAGAGAGAGAGAGAGCACAAGCAGGGGGAGCAGGAGAGGGAGAAACAGGCTCCCTACTGAGTAGGGAGCCCGATGTGGGGCTCGATCCCAGGACCCTGGGATCATGACCAAAGGCAGACACTTAACCGACTGAGCCACCCAGGTGCCCTGCAAAACAGTATTATTAATTATAGTCACCATGCTGTACATTACATCCCTATGGCCTATTTATTTTCTAACTGGAAGTTTATACCTTTAGACCCCCTTCACCCATTTTGCCCACCCCAACCTCCCTGTCTCTGGCAACCACCATCTTCTCTGTTTCTGTGAGCTCAGCTTTTTTTTTTTTTTTGATTCTACATATAAGTAAGATCATACAGTATTTATCTTTCTCTGACTTATTTCACTTAGCATAGCACCCTCAAGGCCCATCTATGTTGTCCCGTTGTCACAAATGGCAAGATTGCCTTCTTTTTTGTGGCTGTATAATATTCCAGTATGTGTGTGTGTGTCTGTGTGTGTGTACCGTAATGTCTTTATCCATTCATGCACTGATGGATACTTAGGTTGGTTCCATAACCTGACTATTGTAAATAATGCTGCAGTGAACATGGGGATGCATATATCTTTTTGAACTGATGTTTTTCTTTTCTTCAGTTAAATACCCAGAAATGGAATTGTTGGATCAAAAGGAAGTTCTGTTTTTAATTTTTTGAGGAGTCTTCATGCTGTTTTTCATGGTGTGAGCACCAATTTACATTCCCACCAACAGTGCACAAGGGTTCCCTTATTTCCACATCCTCACCAACACTTCTTATTTCTTGTCTTCTTGTTGATAGCCATTCTAACAGGTGTGAGGTGATATCTCATTGTGGTTTTGTTTTTTTTTTTAAAGATTTTATTTATTTATTTGAGAGAGAGAGAATGAGAGAGAGAGAGAGCATGAGAGGGAAGAGGGTCAGAGGGAGAAGCAGACTCCCCGCCGAGCAGGGAGCCCGATGTGGGACTCGATCCCAGGACTCCAGGATCATGATCCGAGCCGAAGGCAGTCACTTAACCAACTGAGCCACCCAGGCGCCCCCATTGTGTTTTTGACTCACATTTCCCTGATAATTAAGCATCTTTTCTTGTCCTTGTTGGCCATCTGTATGTCCTCTTTGGAAAAATGTCTATTCGGATCCTCCTCCCATTTTTTAATCACAATATTTGTTTATTTGCTATTGAGTTATATTAGTTCTTTATATATTTTGGATATTAACCCCTTGTGAGATATATGACTTGCAAATATTTTCTTTCATTCAGTACCTTGTTTTTTCATTTTGTTGGTTTCCTTGCTGTGCAGAAACTTTTTAGTTTAATGTAGTCCCACTTATTAATTTTTGCTTTTGTTGCTCAAGTCAACCTTCTTGGACAAAGGAAACAAATTAGACTCAGATGAACTTGGAGTCATCAACTGCTAAAATGTCTGTGTCAGGAGACACAATATCAGCAAATCCAAACCTACCCTTCCTTCCTTCCTTTCCTTCCTTCCTTCCCTCCTTCCTTCCTTCCTCTTTCTCCCTTTCTCCCTTTCTTTCCAAAAGTAAACTGGAACTCATAAATAAAAGCATCTTGGCCAGATCATATATTGTCCAAAGAGCAGAGTTGGGAAGAACACCACATCTCTTGACTCTTTGACCAGAGAGTTTTTAAAAAGTATTTTAAATAATACATATTATTAATAGTATAATGTTCCAAAATGGAAAAATAGAACAATAAAACTTAATAAGAAATATTAGCAATTAATTGTATTAGTATTTGATGTATATAATTAAGAATTTAATATTTCATGTGTTCTAAGTTCAAAACTGCCAATTTACAGTATTTTTTTTACTAGGTTTTTTTAATTTTAATGCCCGTATAGGTAACAGACAGTGTTATATTAGTTTCAGGTGTACAATATGGTGATTCAACAATTCTATCCATTGTTACTCAGGGCTCATCATGAGAAGTGTGCTCTTAATCCCCTTCCCCTCTTTCACCCATCCCCCCACCCATGTCCCCTCTAATATGCTTTGTTGTAGACAAGTACCCTCAGGACACACGGTAGACACAGGAGAATCTCCTGGTTACGGTAGTCTCTCCTTTAACCCCTACCACAACCGTGTGCCTCATAATCCCCATTTTATCAAAAAAGAAGCAAAGATCAGAGAGGTTATACCACTGACATGAGTGTACACAGCAAGTGGGTGGCAGGAGCAGGAAAGCAGAAGGCCCTGCTGTTTTGAGAGCCTACTCTTCTCCATGTGCCAGATTGCCTTTATAAACGTGACATTAGCGGACTGATACAGGAGAACAGACTGCCATTTACAGCAGTTAGCTTCGTGCCTCTGCAGTGCTCCCTTGAGTTTGTCAGATACCTGCTATGGCACATTGGATTTGGTCCTGTGGGGAAAGTTTACTGAGTAAGCCTTGATTTCTCCAGTGATAACCTACCACTTATCAAATGGTTAGTGTGTGTCTTATTCATGTCTGTAGTCTCCTGGAGGGAAATTTGTCATAGCTTCCGTTTGCCTTTCAGGAAAGCCAGTTTTTTGGTTGTTAAGTTTTGTATATTCTTATATGCGTCTATGTGTGTCTGTGTGTTTAATACCCTAGCTTATAACAGAAATTCTTCTTTGAAGCTAAAATAATTCTTCATGGTTCCAATGTAACCTTAAACTCTCCTAGCATATATGAACACTTTCTTGAAGCTAAGAAATCCATCTCCTCGAGCTAGTGGATTAGTTTTTCATTTGGGATGTTTTCTTAGAAGATAAAATATTCTGCATTTTTTGTGGGGGGTTAAGTAATAGTTTTAGAATGTGTTCCCAGATTGCATCGCCAATTCAAGTCTGGCAGTAGTTCAAGTGGGCTGTAATAAACAAATGAAAAGGTTTGGAAGTGTGTGTTGCTGTTAAGGGCATTGGGGTTGGAAGGGCTCTCTAAGTAAAGAGTTTCAGAACAGCTATATGTGTGGGAGTAAAATCTTGGAATCCAAGGTGAAATGCTGACTAGACTGCTCATGTGATGCTGTATTGGATAAACACCGGCAGCCAGGTACTTGGGAAGCGAGTGCAGCTACATTCATTATTAACCTGAGAACAGTGCTCTTCTCTCTAGCAAGGTTGTCTTGGTGGGCTCAACGTGCAGCTAAAATAGGAAGAATAGACAGTGAGTTCTGGAGGTGGAGGTTAGGATGTGGCTGCCAAACGGTTCATATCTTTGAGATGACCAGAAAAATGGTGCAATGGCAGAAGACCCAGACAGATGTTCTTCTAATTCAAAGACTATCCTGGCTATCTCTTGCTGGCTATCAAACCACCCCGCCACATGGGCTTAAAAAATAGCCATCATTTATTTTGCTTACCAGTATGGGGGTTGACTGGGCATAGCCAGGCAGTTTCTCTTGGGACCTGTCAGATGGTTTCAGTCACAGTGGCTGAAGTTGGGGCTGTCTCAAAGACTCCTTCACTCTTATGTCTCGTACTTGTGCTGGGGAAATTCAAACAGTTGGGGGCAGAACAGATGGGGATCCCTGGGCATCTCTGTGTCCCTGTGGTCTCTCCAACATGGTGGTATGGGCAACCAGATTTATTTCATGGTGGAGGAAGGCCCTCCAAGAAAGTGTTTCAAGAGATAACATTTCAAAGGTGCCAGACATATAGTAGAGTACCTAATGGTAAATATTACATTCACCCAAAGGAATATTGAGTTTAGAATTTCAGGCAAGCTGATTTCAGGTGAAACACATTATTCTCTTTATAGTAGAATAGATAAAGCTGAACTGTGGGATTGGAGAACGTGGGGTGTATAGAGGTGTGCTCGTGTGTCAGTATATGTGTGTGTTTGGGGGCACGTAAACAATCTTATGATTCCTAGAATCTCCCAGAGGTTCCTCTCTTGCTCCTGGCTAGAGAGAAGAGAGAGAAATTCACAAGATCCTTTCCTTCTCCACCTCCAGCTTCTTTGTCATTTGGGATTTTTGTGTGGCCTATATCACTGTCAGTCCTTCATGAGAGAACATGTCTAACTACCAAGTTGTACAGCAAAAATTGGACATACCATAGATGAGGCTATGCATTTTACTTGGGTCTAACCACGCTTAAGTGGCTAAGCCTTAAAAGCTTATGAATTTAGTTCAACTCAAACACAGGAAAGTATTTTGTTTATTGCTAATTGGTATAAGATATAATTACTATAAAAGTAAAAAACATGTGAATCAAGCAAGGACTCCTTGGTCTAAATATGTTTCATTTGGAGAACAAGGAAGGCTTTTTCCAGAAATATAAGAAGGGTAAGAATTTTGCTAGGGAAACTGAACCTTGAGAGACCAGAGTTTAAATATATCATGTACTTATTCGATTAACCCTTTTAATATCCAATTAAAGGTTAATTTGTACATCCAGCTCTAGAAACTTGTTTTATTTACTCATTTTTAGTGTAAGCTGGTATTTGTTTAGGTTTAATAGCACCTTGGATGCTGTTCTTTGAGCTTTCTTTGTGGTAATTATTAAGTTAATTGAGAGAAGTCAGGGCCTAAGTGTTCAAGAAATGAAATCATATGGCCATTAATTTGTGAAGTTCCTGATTATCTTCTCATTTAGGGAGTTTAAAGTTCATTTCAGAATCATAAATAAAGGAGAGAGGATAAGTCTAGTTTTATGAACTAGGCACTGGCTTCAACCAGTTAAGAAAATTATCCTAAGTCCAGTTTCTAATTGCCTTGATCCAGTTGTGCAAATTACCTCCATTTGTTTTTTCTTTTTCATAATAATAATGGGACACACATTTCTTGTAAAGAATAGATGACTTATTAAGAATATGTTCTGTGCTATTTGACCAAAGGTAATGTTCTGGGGAATTTATTTAGATAAATCCTTTGGTTTATTCCACCCTCTTGGCCTGGTGTCTTCTTCCTGTTCCTCTTTAGCTCTGTGATTCTCATCTGTCCTTGAAGATTCTACCTAGGCTCTGAAGGACATCCCCACTCCTCAGGTTGGATTAGTTGCCTTGTTGCAGCGGGCACAGGCCTGCAATGCACACATTCCTTTATGGTTTCTACCACTTGAAATGGAAGTAGTTATTATCTGTTTAGATGTCTGTCACCTCACTAGATATTAGCCCTTTGAGGGGAAGAACTTTCTCTTTCAACAGTGTGCCCCCCATACCCAAAGAAAATTATATACGCTAGGGAGAAATTGTGCCTCAAACTCACATGGTACACACCCAATAAGTGCTTATGGAATGAATGTGTACAAGTATCCTGGATTTTTAATTGGTGCTTTTCAGAAGCCCAAATCAATGCAAAGTTGAGTTGATAAAGTGAGCTTTGAGCCATTTTGATCAACGAAAAGCACAGTTTTGAATTCTGAAGAATAATTTGCTGATACATATTGCAAACCAATAATTATGCTTAAAAATACAGCAAACTGGGCCCTTTGTTGTTGGGTTTTATCATCGGTGAACCCTAGCTGATTGATAAATACTGTATCAGTTATCTATAGCTGCATACAAATTACCCAACACTTAGTGGCTTACAACACACATTTATGACCTCCCAGTTTCTGTAGGTCAGGAATCTGGGTGTGGCTTAGCTGGATCCCCTGCTTCAGCATCTCACTGTCTGTAGTCATCTCAAGGCCCCAACCGGAAAGGATCTACTTTTCAAGCTCAAACCTGTGTGGTTGTTGGCACGATTCAGTTCTTCATGAGTTGCTGGACTGAGCCCTCCATTCCTCACCAGGCCTCCCTTGGCTCCTTGCCATGTGGGCCTCTCCATAGAGCATCTCATACATGGTGACTGGCCTTATCAGGGGGAGCAAGCAGATGGACAGGAGAGGGTGCTGGCAAGAGAACGTGTATAAGTCACAGTGTTTTGTAAACTAATCTTGGAAGTGAGATCCCATCGCTTTTACTATACTCTATTGGTTGCTAGGTCCAACCTACACTCGGGGGGGATTACACAAGAGCATGCATGCAGGAGGTGGGAATCATTGGGAGCTATACCCGAAGCTTCCTGTTACAAATAATAAGTAAGGATTTAAGAAAATTACAAAATGTATAACACAATAATGGGGGGTACAAAAATAAAACACACTAGTGTGAACTACTAACAGAATGGGTATATAGGGGAGACAAGAAAATTTAAGCCCACATTTTTTAATACTTTATTCTTTATAAGCATTAATTTACTGTCTACTTGGTGCCAAGCATCACAATACACTCATGGCACCCCAGAAAGGAGTAAAACTTTGGTAATGACTGAAGAAGCTTAAAGATTAGTGATGGAAATAAGCATAGAGAAAAAAATCACTAAGGAAAATTTCATAATATAAGTACTTCCATACTGTTTTTGGAGTACAGTAATAGAGTAGATTTCAGGAAAATTTACTGAGAGTTGCTGAAAGTTGTCTGGGGAAGTGAGTGAGGCGAAGAATTTCCTAAGCAGAGAGTGGTGAGGGGAAGAAGAGCTTGGGTAAAGGAAGAAATATTGTTTATTTGAGATTAATGAAATCCAGATTTTGCTGATCATATAAAGACATAGAAAAAAAATCATTAAGGATCTGGAAGAGAAATTATTCTAACTGTCCCCCAAGTCTCAACCTCAGTGCCAAGGGAAGCAGAGGTGGTTCAGTTCCCAGAGTGGGTAGAGATGACTTTGTGAAGTTAATCTTTGGCAACCGCTCTGGTCTCCTTAGAGATTAGTTGTGCTGGATTTTTCTGAATTCATGACTGGTCCTTGATGGAACTTTGAAACATGCACATTTTGTCATTTGGGACATAGTTGGACCCCCTCTCCAGCTCTGTGGTATTTCTCTAACCCCAGGAACTTGGTCAGTTCTGGGTGGCTTCTTGACCTGGTCCCACCAGGCCAATCTTGATAGGCAGTGTGCTCACCGGGCTCTCTAGAAAGGTCTCGCTCCTCTTACCCATCAGAACCCACTTAACATGTTTCCTCTCCAGAGGGAAGTATAAGAGGAGACTTGGGGTCAGCCTCCAAACTGGCTAAGAAAATGATACCCATGTCACCTGATTTTAAGGCCAGTATCTAAGGTAGCAGCAGGAATTACCCAAAGTGATGTGGGGTGGGAGATATGCTTGACTGTAGAATATATAGCTGACCCTTGAACAACATGGATTTGAACTGTGCAGGCCTACTTATATGCAGGTTTTTTCCCGATAAATACAGTATATTACTGTAAATTTATTTTCTCTTCCTTGTGATTTTCTTTTCTTTCTTTGAGAGAGAGAGAGTGTGAGCTGGAGGGAGAGGGAGAAAGAATCTGAAGCAGACACCACCCTGAGTACAGAGCCCGACGTGGGG